ATAATATAAATTATATTATAAAATTATATGTAAAAGAAAGATGGTCTTCCACTGTAAAAAGGGAGCAAATGACCATGATAGAGAGCAGTGATCTTGAGACAAAAGCAGAGTTTTCTTCTAGACTTCTAGGCTTTGTTGATGGACCCTTCTGTCAGTGACCATAGCCCAGCTCTATGCCAAGGGTTTCCTACCAAGAGGCAGAAACAATTTTCTAATCATCTTCTCTCTGCCTTTCCCCATTTCTTACCTTCTCTTTTTCAATATTTCATTTCTCCTCATATGATCTACAATATACTTATCATTACTCATCCCAAATCTAACTACCCCTGCTTTCCAAATCCTCCAAGAGTGACATCTCATGCCATAAATGTACAATTCAATGATTCTTAGAAAATGTGTTTATTAAAATAAATTAGTATACATTAGAGGCACTTATTAGAGAGTGTGTAAATCAGTATCTTTGGTTGAATTGGGTTCGTTGCCAGATTTAATTCATTTGGCAGAAATGTAGTTAAACCCATTTAATAGGGATAGTTCCTGCCTACACCTAGTATTTAAATTGCAGAAGAACAACAGAGTTGGCAGTCATCATGGTGACTTGAACTCCAGGGTGACCTGGAGCACTGCTAAAGAAAACAGTGCTACTTTCTGGAGAATTCCTGGAGGAAGCTACCTGTTTCTTAAGGTTCCAGTTCCATGAGGTTGGCAGTAACCTAAGAGGTATGCAGTTTTGAAAACAGGTATGAACTTCTCATTGGTCTCATGGATGTTTGCTTAAATGAAAGTCTGGAAAAATGGTTTGTTGTCTTTTGCCTTGTCTGATTGTGACTCTTTGCTGTGATTTCTTATCCACTACTTCCTTCTATCTTATTCAAGCCATGCGCAGTATGAATGGATACTGTGAACTCATATTAATTAAATATGAGGGCAGTATGAATGAAAATAGTAAACACTAATTAATGAAATATCAGTATTTCCCTTTCTCATTCACCTCCTCTCAAAAAGCTAACTCCTTTGTGTAGTGACCATTTTTTCACTCTTTCTAAAAAAGGATATATCTGTATGACACGGGAATTGTGAGTTTGTGTGTATGCTTAAGTATTTAGATACATATAGGAACTGCCCCCCCTTAATAATTGCTTTGAACTTGTAGCTCTACTACCTTATCTGTAATGAGGCGAATGTTTTCTTCTGACACAGAGGAGAAAAGGAATAGAGAGCAATATAAAAATACACCAACCTTAAAACACTGAAGTGCCACAATAGAGTCATTTGTGTCAGGGGACAGATTTGGTGATCTTGTCCACTTCCGATACACTCTGCTATCTTTGAATTATCACAAAGGTGCACAAAAACACCAGAGATATATGAAAGCAACATCAGAATGATATATCTCCAGATCATGCCTATGAAGGCTATCAGTTCTGACATGAGTATTTTTTCTCTTTTCCTTATCCTCAAACTCCTCTTCTACCTGCTTGCCTCGCACAGGTCTTTTGACCTTGCTTCTCTGCCTTTAGTTTCAAAGCAGAATCACTTTTTAGTGTTTTGGCAAAATCAACAGTGTGTAGATGGTTCTCAATTAGTTTAGGCATAGCTTGGAGCACAGTAGTATAGATATTATACTTTTGGTTTTCTTTTGTTTTTCTCAGTCTTTCCTTTCTATGCTGCCAGAATGTGTGACTTAATCATTAGGCCTGGTTTATCTGGAAATCCCAGAACTGAATCCTTTAGCTAGTCTCTTTAACCTAGAAATACATGCCTCAGGAAGTAGGTGAACCAGGAAAACTGACTTCTTCACTTTTAAAAGTCTATTGGGAAGGAAATTATTATAGAACTCTCTTTGGTATCCATTCCAAGAGTCTGATAACCGTTACAGTCAGCCATTTGCCTAACAAGGTTGTTTCTCTTACTAGCGTTTTAGGGGAGATGGAACATCACAAAGCAGAATCCTATATGTAGGAATCTAATATCTATCAAACTATCAAATTATCACACCTACACTTTCTGTTTACATACTAAATGAATACAATCTACCTCAACTTTCCTCAAAATCTGATTTTTAAAAAATAATTCATACTTTTGTTTCTTTTTGGAAAATTTTACATTTCTTGTAACACATAGAATCCCCCAAGTCTTAGTATATTAATAGTATCGATAAACAAGACCTGGGTATGATAGTGGGAGTACTACCTAACAATTTAGCATCATCAAATTGATTTTATTTTTAAACAGTTAAAAAAATTACACATGAAACAA